CACAGCTCACAGCAACCTCCAACTCCTGGGCTTAGACGATTCTCTTGCCTCCGCCTCCCGAGTAACTGGGACTACAGGCGCCCGCCACAATGCCTGGCTATTTTTTTGTTGTTGCAATTTGGCCATGGCCAGGTTCAAACCTGTCACCCTCCGTCTATGGGGCCGGTGCCTTACCCACTGAGCCACAGGCGCCACCCCACATAAAAGTTTTGTTGGATATTATACTTCTTCTTCCTTTCCCTCTTCTTTTTTATCTTGCAATACTTTACGTAGCAGGCCATGCAAAAATAAATCGTGAGCTAGAAGGAAACAACATATTATCTCCATTTTGAAGATGAGATTAAAAGTGAAGCTTAAAGGGATTGTCTAATATATAATACATAAAAATATATATAGATCTATCTTTTTGTTGTTGTTTTGAGAGGGAGTCTCTGTCACCCTGGGTAGAGTGCTATGGAATCATAGCTCACAGAACCTCAAATTCTTAGTTTTAAGGGATCCTCTTGCCTCAGCCTTTTAAGTAGGTGGGACGACAGGCACCTGCATTACGACTGGCTAGTTTTTCTATTTTTAATAGAGGGGGGTCTTGCTGTTGCTAGGGCTGGTCTGGAACTCCTGAACTCAAAGCAATCCACTCACCTCGGCCTCCCAGAGTGCTAGGATTACAGGCGTGAGCCACCGCGCCCAGCCATCTCATATATTCTTATTATACTTATGTTATTGTAGATCTGACCTAGTAGAATGTAAGCTTCATAAGGGCCGGAAACTTTGCCTTCTTTGCTCACTGCTATTTCTTCAGCGTCTGCAACAGTGTGGAACGGGGGGGTGTCTATGAATGTTCGTGAATAAAGGAACAAATGAATGAATGAACTTGACTTAACCACTGCCTCAGGGAGTTTGTGGTTGCAGTGTTCTCACAAGATTTTGCGGGTATAAATCAGTGCTGGGACCATGCGAACCTCTGTCAAAAAGGGAGACCCAAATTCAAGATTTTAAGGTAGGTCAGACGATGAGGTGCCAGATTCTCGCCCTCACTCAAGATGGCGACGAGGCAGCGTGCCCTTTCCGGTCATATGATCTGACAGTCGCAGAAGGGCACCTCCCCGCGCTTGCGTGCTGCGCCAAGGCTGCGAGGTGCTAAAGGAAGAGGCGCCGCCGCCAGCGCCGCCGCAGGGACCCGTTAGAGCGGAAGCGTTGCTGCGGCCGCTGTCTTAGCTGTCCGGGGGCCTCTGGTTCCTGGCAGGTGGGAGGCGGGAGCCATGTCGAAACGGCTCCGAAGTAGCGAGTTGTGCGCGGACTGCAACGGGCCGGGTGAGTTGCACCAGGCGGGCCCGCTACCCTCTGCTCTCTCCCCTCGGACCCCGACCCCAGGGCCACCCCCTCGGATCGGGCGGGTTTCTGCGGCGGAGCCCCGCAACGCGCGGCTGGGGTCGCAGCGAAGGTAGTCCCCGGGCGGTCTAGGTACGGGACTCTTCCCGGGCTTGTCAGAGCCCGGTGGGCAGGGGGCCGCCGCCCTCGCCTCCCACTCGGCCCTCCCTTCCTTCTCGTCCCCTCTTCGCCGCACGTCTAGGGAGGCGGCGGGAGCCTGGGACGTTCCCCTGACAGGAAGGGGCTTGGGCAGTACACAGGAAGGCCAATTACAGAAGTAAAATGCTAACGTCCTTCGGTCTGCAGCCCCCAGAGGCTGCAGGTGTCGCCTTCCACCGACCCCCCGCCCCACTTGGGGGCTCTTCCCAGCGTGAACGATACTCTCTGAAACTCTCCAGAGTAGCCCGGTAGATGGCTTCCCTGCTCCTGGCATCACGACAGCCACTCCACTGGGAAAAATCTACGGGAGATCTAGGGTCTTGCAAACACAGTCAGCACTTGAGAGGCAATGCATATCTCAAGTTTGGGGATCTGAACGGCTTGGGTTCGAACCAGATTTTGCCTCTAGGTGACCTTGGGCTGGTGACTTCACTTGCTTACTTGGCCTTGATTTCCTCATTTTTTTGATGAGGATTAATCTTAGTGGTTAGGAAGATTCAGTGAACATTTTTAGTATCTTCTCTTCTAAGTTTTTTTCTTCTTTTTTGTATTATGTTATGTAGTATAGAATCCTCGCAGCCCCGTAAAGCTAGAGTTGACTATCTAAATCATGATTACTTAAAATGTAAACAAACACAAAATCACTGGCAAAATAAGCATAGGGGCTTGAAAAGGCAAAAACTATTCCTCTATAATAATGAATAAACTTTAATACATTATATTAAAGTTTAGAGATCAAGTCTGGTTTTACAACTGGAACTGAATTGACAGGTCTCTAATAGAGATTATATGCTGTTTTATTTATATGCTTTGAGTTTGAAGTCATCCAAAGGTAACATGGCTTCCTTGGAAAATAATGTCTGAAACAATCTTAAGTCACTGAACACCGGTAGCCTTGCAACTGTTCTGTTCTTCATCTTGTCATTTGGAAGTGGAGACTTGATTTTGGGTAATACTGTGATAACTTAAACCTTATGTGGCCTTTTCATGGCCTGTATAAGATGGTGTTTCTAGTTTCTTTTGAAGATAGAGAAGGGGTGATGGAGGAGTTTAAAAAGAGGTTTTATAAATCAAGTTAGTGGGTATTATACAAACTCCATTGTTTTCTTTAAAAATGTTATTTGTTCCACTTCCTTATTTTCTTGTCTGTTTTGACTTGAACTTTCTGAAGGTTTGATTCACATGTGTCAAGCTTCAAACTTTCTCTTGGATTCCATATTCTTAACTTCTTGAAGGCCAACATGGAGCAAAGGAAAAAAATTGTTTCTCTATTGCCGCACTAAATACTATTTTTTTTTTTTTTTTTTGAGTTAGGGTCTCAAGCTCCACCCTGGGTAGAGTGCACTGACATCATAGCTCATAGCAAAGTCCAACTCTTAAGCTCAAGTGACCCTCTTGCCTCCGTTTTTCTATTTTTAGTAGAGATGGGAGTCTCCGTTTTTGCTTAGGCTGGTCTCGAACTTCTGAGCTCAGGCAATCCACCTGTCTCAGCCTCCCAGAGTGCTAGGATTATAGGCATGAGCCACTGTCCCCGGTCTATCTTGTACTTTTGCAGAGGTTGTGCATTTCAGAACATTTTTCTTTCGTTGTATCATTTTGGTTGTTGTCCCCTAGCCTAATCTACAGAGACTTGAGTCACTTCCTTCCTGTTTTGAATATAGTGAGGCTACCTTGAAATGTTTTTTGAACTTGCACTGCTAGGAATTTGTGCTGCCTTTTCTTCAAAGCCCTGGTGAAATAATTACCTGTAGGGTCAGAGACTCCTTTGGATACTAAGGCCATTTCCTCAGAAAATGTATATATGCTTATTCTTTCACACTGAATTTATGTTAAGATTTCTCAAGAGGAGTCACAGATAATCTTGTGAAGCCCATGGAGGGTATCTGTGGAGCCCTGACATAGCACATCTAGATAAACGTGAAGGATTTCTTTTCTTTGTTTGTTTTGTTTAGCAGGCCCTGGCCAGGTTCGAACCCGCAAACCTCAGTGCATGGGGCTAGCA